CTGCCTCTGCTGGGCTGGCGGGGAGCCTGCAGCGGCCCCTTAGCCTGGAGCTTCCGTGGAGGCAGCCGAGAGGTCCTTCCCCGGCCTTCTACCTCAGGGCCCTCCGGCGGCCGAGGCGGTTGTGCGCCTGGGCTGTGGCCGGTGTGTCTCCAGGAGGCGATTCCCCTCGCCGGGTGTCACGGGCGCAGCCCTGGTGGGAGTGGGGCTGCCGCCGTTCCCCCTTTCTGTGTCTCTTTGCCAGGCAACGCTGGCACCAGCTCCTCCTACTCCTGCTTCCACCGGCAAGTCAGGCCCGCCAGGGCCTCGGGTCGGTTTTCCTCCTGGCAGAGCCTCGCTGGGCACCCTCACAGCCTGGCTGAGATGGGTCACACTGCTTCTACTCTTTCCTCCCTGCATCTGAAGCCAATTACTCCCATCAAAAGAGGAAATCGCATTAGTTTGATGCTAGTCCTTGATAATACGTATTAGCTGATTTTTTGGCAGCTGCTATGTCCCTAGTGCCTGTAAAAGGATTTTTAAATTAATTTGTTCTGGTGTCTCGTCTGGTATTGAATTAACACTGATGAGTTCATAACAACAGGCTTGCTTGCTCCTTTTTTCTCTTTAGAGACCTTAGGGTTTCCTTTCTCCCCAGTTCGCTGAGGTCCCTCAGTCCTTCAGCAGTTCCTGGTCCTTGTGATTTGGAAATTGTTTTGGCTAGTTCCTGACATTCCTGGTGTTCCTCTTCAGTAGTGTGTTCCTATTGGAATACCTCTCTGTCTCAAAGAGTGAGCTGTTCTGAGCTTTCTCAGCTTTCTTTCCTGGCCTGTTTCTATCTGTGCTAGGTCGCCACGTTAGCCAAGCATTGATGGAGGGATGTGGAGCTGTCAGTGTGTTGGTGTGAAATGGGCCGCTGCCGTTGTTGAATGGCTTGGAACACGATGTACTGTCGTGAACCATCTCAAGAGCTCCAGAACTGGGAGCCGGGAGGCCCGGGCAGACCCAGGGATTTGCTGTGATGGGTGTCAAACACTGCAACTGTCTCCCACAGGAGATGCTGAATTCCCTGCTCTCCATTTCTGAGCCCAAAATGGAGTGCATCCTTCAAGCGACACCTAATTTAATAGCCTCTCTAGAAGGATAATTTGGTATGTTTTAATGACCTAGGATATTCAGATTAGGCATAATGAGCTGATGGTGGCTTTTGGTTTTAACATTGTGTTCACCTCTTAAAACGTAACAGAAACAAAGCAAGAGAAAATTACTCTGTTGCAATAAAATAGGCAGGTGGGGGCGGGGTGTTTCTCTGTAAAAGCCCTTTAGTGTATCTATTACACTTAAAATGGACAGCTACCGTAAGACAAGAAGTTTAATCTGCTCTGGTTCATGCTGTATTTCAGGTGTAATGTCCCTTATTCTGCTGTATTACAGCAAAACAAGTTTCTGCCTTCCCCCAGCTGCAATCAGTATAGTCTTTGTTGAAGGTGATCATTAGAGGTTGTTCCTTGAAGACTGCAGCTGTTGGGAACTGTAGGTAGAATCACTTGTAGGTGTCCACGGTGCCTAATGTACTATAGATGACATCAGAAATTGTTTCCTAGCAGGTTCAGGGACTTACATAAATACCAATACATGGCACACACATACTGACTTCCATTTGTGGATCTCGGTGAATGATTAACCAAAACACTTGGATTACCTAAAATTTCTTGGATTTGGAATGCTTTTTGGATTTCTCTTGACTTTTTACCCTGTCTGCCAATACTTGTGAATGGTGATGGAGACATTCAAAGAGAAAAATAAAGATGTTAAAATCCAAAGTTTGTCAATTTGAGTATTAGTCTTTGCTGGGTTTCGTAGTTAATAGATAGCTCTAAATGAGGTCAAAGAATTTTTAATTTGTTGTGAACTCACAAGTTCAAAATCTTTGCTTGTGCTACTTATAAAACCAAATTATAAATTTGTTAAAATATTATGTTGGAAAGAACCAGTATTCCCAAATAATCCTGCTCCTGATGTCAGCAGCTAGGGAGCAGGTTTGGGGAAGAAAAGCCCTGCAATACAGCGTGCATAATTTGTAGCAACTTCTGAAGCAGACCTTAAAGCTGAGGTCTCATTCAGACTTCAGTCTCAAACTTAATAGAATTACATGAGAAGACAATTGATGTAATTGCAGATGGGCCTTAAAATAAACGAGGGAAAAGAAAGACAGTGGAATGCTACAAGTTCATTAAAATCTCCATGAATCCAATGATAATGAAAGATTTACTGCAGGCAAGTAGGAAAACCTTTCCACCTTTTTTCCCAGGCTGCTTCCAACAGGCTTCAGCACTGATTTCCAGTGTCTGGTGTGAAGGAATAAAGAAATCGGGCATGACCGAGGTGCTCAGCTAGGCGAGGATCCTTGCGCAGCTTCTCTTCAAGAGCAAGGTATTTCTGTGGTGCTGTCTGCTTTTCCCTAGAACGAGAAGGGGGATATCGGAGGAAAACTGCAGCGGGACATCGAGTAGGGTATTTTACAGAATAGCTTCAGTGCTGAGTTCCTGGGGGGCTGACTTGTAGACCTCCCCTGGGCACTGTACTCTGGCAGTCATTCCCAATACCTGTTGAGCCTCAGCGCTAGAATGTGGATATGGAACATGGTTTCAGAGTAACGGGCGAGGAAGTCATCCTCCTCCTCTGCGCTGAGCTGATTCTTCTTTTCCTGAAACCACTGGTCCTTCTTCTGCAGCTCTTCCACCGCCTGTTGGGGGAGCAAGCAACCAGAAGTCAGGGTAATAGAGAGGAGAGAGAGGAGCAAAGGCACACAAGAGTGGAACTCAAAGTTCAGGGAGCCGAGATGAAGGAAACCACAAATCAGAGCTGGTTTATTTTTATGGGAGGCAATAAGTTTGAGATGAGGTCTCACAGAACAAGAAAACATGGGGAATCAAAAAAAACATGGAACAGCGAGAGGCAGCAAAACCTGAATGCGTTGCCTCACTATAGTCAAGAAGCACTGGAGAACCAAGTCAGCTCTGACTGAGATAGGGACTAAATTTCACCCTGGAGCTATTTTGTTCTTTGATTTCACATGCTAACGACAAAAAAAAAAAAAAAGGCATGTTTATGGCTCTCAAAGTAATCAAAGGTTTGTTTCTTGCCTGCTGTCACAATGAGATATGTGTTAGCCTCCTGCCAGTACAGAAGAGACTCCAGTAACAACACATCCTGGAGCGAGGCTGGCAATACCTTTTCAAAGCGGGCCTGGATGATATTGGCTTTATCAATGAGTCGACGCTTAAAATCAGTCAGGCAGTTATCTCTGACGCGCAGGGCCTGCCCCTTGGTCATTTTCTCTCTGTAGCCAATTTGAATAAGAAAAGGTGCCAGGTAATCCAGATCCTGTTCCTCTTGTCCTGGGAGCTCATCCTCCATTGCGTTCTTCTGGAGGGGAAAGGACAGAAAGAGTCATGGTCCCATTTACCTGTTTCCCCAAACACCCTGTGATAAGGCAAAATAAAAGCAAAGGCCAAAATCCTCCTCCCCCCCTCCCCCAGGAGGAAATAACGTTTCTTTTTCCTACAGTTTGATCAAAACTACTGCTTTGCATTAGCTTTGCATACCAACCCTTTCCCAATGCAGTTTTTATTCTGTAGTTTATTTTCTACCGTCCTTTTTAACATTTCTCCTAATTTCCTTGATTGTAGAGACGTCTCTTACACAAAACGTGTTATCCACTGAGGTACAAGGAGGGCTCTACAAAATGCGTTTGTATTTGGACAGAAAGAGGTGAGGACAGGGTATTTTGAGCGATAGCAGCTTGTAGGCTGGCAAGTAGCTGGTTCTTGCATCTTTGCCCCTGCTTGTGTTTCACGCCAGAAGTTTGGCATCGTAAAACCTAATATCACCTTTTATAATCTCTATTCAGGAAAGCTCAGTCTAAAAAACATTCACAAGAAGCATCTTAGAGATCTTGAAAAATTGCAAGTAATTATTCTTGAATCTTTTTGTATTTGTCCATAACATGCATAAGGTATTAATTCCTCAACAGAGATGGTGGAACAGAATTGGCTTTGCAAGTAATAATGAAAACCAAGAAAACAGCTGATTCGTATCACACAAAGTAGTGTGTATTTGCCTAACAAAATGAGCCCTGGCTAGAAAGATGCAGCTTGGAATCCATTATCATACTCCCCCCATAATCCCTATTATCAACTAATCCTTGATAATTTTCTTTATTAACTAAACAAAATAAAACAATAATCTTTCTCGGTGATGCAAGTTTTTCCAGAAAGTCAGAAGGTCATAGCATGATCATGTTATATTTTCATGCAAGTCAATTGAAGCTGTGCTGACTTACACCTGCTAGGGATTTGGCCCAGTATATTTTAACGATACTAAAAGCTCTTCAGAGATAATTCCTCAGACAGAAAAAGCTTACTCTGGATTTCTTTGTGTATATGTAATAAATACTGGGACTAATGAAGTCTACCTACCATGGCTTCATTCTGTTGTCTTCTCTTTTCATTCCTCTCTCTATTATAAATTGAAACTGACAATTTAACGGCAGTTTCTTCATTCTCAGGGATCTTCAAAATATTTAACACCTTCCAAAAAATCAGAAGAAAGAGCCCTCAGCTTTCCTACCAAATGACAGTACTTTTACATGCTTGACCTGCTAACAGAGCAGATGCTGCATACAAGAACTGTAGCATAAGGTTAAATATAGAAGATCTATACAAATATGTTCATATCCTGCTGTCAGATCAAGCCGATAGTGGTCTTATTTTTAGATTGCTGCTCTGCATGAAATTCTTGGACACAATTATTATCTGTTAAGAAAGCTCTTCTGGAGTCACAGTCTTGCCACTACTTTTGAAATTGCACTGATAGCTTCGGCTTACTTCTTTGTCTTAACAGGATATACAGCACAAGCAATGTGAATATTTTGCCTGTTAATACATCAAGACTGAGAAATTTGGCAAGGTAGTTCATGAGGTCACAGTGAACTAGCTTCAGATTTCTGGGAAAAAAAGGGAATTTTGCCATCTTGTTCTTAATTATTCCTAGTATTCTGTGCTAATATAGTTGAGCATTCCCTCTCCAGCTCTCCTCCTCTTCCTCACAAAAACATTTAAAAAAGAAATAAATCCAATAGCTTTGCCTCCATCTGCTAGAATGGTGGTATTTATCATGAAGTAATTACAAAGACTTCTAAGAACATGGATTCGTTACACCGGTCACAGTGTGATTAGCAGTACAAGCAATGTATTTTATGAAGTATTTCTCTACAGTTGCTCCCACAAAAAGTCACTTCAGTATTTTGAAGACTTCCTGGAAATGCCTAGCAACTAGATATACAACATTACATACAATATCTTTTCTTTTAGGTCTCATTCCCAGGCAAAAGGCAGATATGTTTCTAGGTGCCCCAACTCATATGCTGTCATTTGCCCTCTGAAACTGTCTTCCTCCCAGAGAATGAAGAGTAAGAGCAGGAGCTGGAAAGTGTGTGCCTCTCCATAAATATATTAAAGCCACGTCTTTACTGAACAATGACTGGGTTGCAAGCTTGATAATTCAGCATGGAGACCAGCTTTGTGACACCAGAGTTTTATTTTTGTCACAGTTTATGCTGAGGATGCTTTGGCAACCAGTCAGCCAAAACCATTTCCATGCCTGACCAACTTTGACAACAGTGCGGACACCTCCCTGTTACCTCTGCTTCAGATTGCCGGACTTGTTGCTTCAGCCGCTTCTCTTCCTCTGTTAGCTCCTGCAACAATTTGTACAGGTGGAGCAGCTTCTTCTCTTTCTCAGAGGACCCCGCCTGGAAGCAGATAAGCTAGTGAAAGACAGTAGCGCTCTCTGGGTGCACGGGACCAGGTACTCTGCTAACAGAAATTGGCACAATTCTGCTATAGTCAGTACAGTGACACTGATTTCCACCATTGAAACATCTAACCCATGGTCAACAACTTATTAGACTTCGTTTCGATTTTGAGTCTATCAGTAACGGGAGCCAGATGGCACATCTTGCACTTTGCTGATGCTGCTGTTATTGGTTAGAACCGGTTGTGCAGGATTAGAGATGAAAGGATGGCATTACAGCAGATGCGTTCTGTGTATTCTGCCCGATGGGAGATAGAAACTTTAAGAAAACGTGCATAACGCTAAAAAATCCTGTATTTGCAATCTCTCTTTGATTTTCCTAAGTGTAATTGTGCAGCATCACTGCAGAATTTACTGGCAGACTCCTGCCCCTGGTTACAGACTCCCATCAATAACGTTAGTGGAATGACCCCCCCGCCCCAAATGAGAGAATTTGGCTTAATGACGGCACTCCACTTTTTTTATAGTATCTTTTATTTAAGGCTATCTATCTATCAGCAATGCATTAAGCCTCAGCATCTTGCTCTGCATCTGCAGGGTAAACTCTGGGAGATTTAAGCAATGATGTGACCCAAGAAGTCCATGGCAGAATTGAAGCTAGAACCCAGGATGTCTGCTTCTGCTTCTCTGCTGTAGTCTCTTCTTCAAGAGAGAACGGCAGAGGAAATTTCAGCTTCCCTGCCATGAATCTGCAGAAATGAGCCTAACAGCTGCTGAACCAGCATCTTGCAAGTTCCCAATGGCTGTGTCTACATTGCCTGATGACCAAGTCTGGGAAGATGGCCTCAGGCATGGCTAGAGCAAGCCTTTCACGCTACACTATGTCCTGCGTGCCCAGTCACTTCCAGCATGGTAATGCATCCCCAGGGGCATTTGTGTTGTCAGCCTAGAGGCTGTCTGTGAGGGAGGTGTGCAGACGGAGCAGAGGGGCAGCATGGAGTATGTCATGCTTGTAGTTCTTCCACTGACATTTCACCTTCCCTTTGTGTCTTGTGATCTAGAAAAACTTCAAGATATAAGTAGTTTTTCTCCATACCTGGTATGTGATGCACATTTCTGGGGTCATGACGATTTCATTTCCTTTCCTATCCCTCTCTGACGCTTTGAAGAAATCCTTCTTTGAGGCAGTAATGTATTTATCCTTGAGGTGATACGTCAGATGGATTGTCTCCTCTGTGATCAGAAAGATACGTTCTGCTACATCTTCATCAGCAGGCTTTTCTAGGTTTCTGTGGAAACGCTCCTTGATTTGCTGATGAGGGGTGAAAAGAAAGAGATGGAAGCAGGTTAGACAACACAGAAAACTGGCAAGATTTGCAAAGTTGGGTAAAAACCCATGGTAAAAATTGGGCTTTTCTGCCTGGATTACGATGGCATCTCTTGGCCCATGGTCCTACTGTTCTTTCCTGTGCCCGAGAAAAAAAGCACAAAGCTGCTTAAAGCAATAGAGAAGTCTCCTATTTGTGAAGCTGAGTATGCTCTCCAAGCTCAAAGTGAGTTTGGGATGCATCCCTGCCTGAGGCAACCGCAGGAAGCAAGGTATTTTGGAGCACAACAAAAAGTTTCCCACATTCCCCAACATAGGGAAGGAAAAGGAGCATGTTGGGTGCTGGTCCAAAGGCAGGCCACTGCATGGCTCTGTCTTGGCAGGTGAAGTGTCTGAGCCATGCTGCCAGATGTCAGATTTCCTCCCTCTTCTGTTCTCCAAATCAGACCTGACTAGAGGAAGAGGTAGATTACCTGCTTGCAATCATAGCGATGGGATACTTCATCAGGAACCTAAAACGTTATTAGTTTGGGGTCAGAACGTGAAATCATTTGACTAGTTTTGAGTCTTGTGAAAATTTCATTCCAAAATCATAGTCAAGCTTTTTTCCTTTCCTCTGACACACATTTTCCTAGTTTCATTCTAGCTGCTCAATGCAGTTCGTGACAACTGGTCACACTGTAGCTCTCTGTCAGGCAAGCAACTGTGAGACACAGCAGCTGAACAAGGCTTGGACGTCTCATCTGCAGTTTTGCCTTGGCTGCACCCACTGAAAATGAACCTAAAGCCCTAGGCAGTATGTTTTGCATAGTATAAATATCACAGTGACAGATATTTTTCTGTTCCTGCCTTGGCCGTACCACTATAGGCTGGGAGTTAATGTCAGTTCTGGTGCCAGCCAAGTGTATTTTCTTTCCTCTTTTGCCAAACTCCATGTGCCGGACATGCAGGAAGTCATCCCGCCCCACGAAGTACTCTGTCATCTCGTTAGCATTTTCAACACGTTTCTGGAGGCCATCGACTCGCGCCTCATTGTAAAACTCCATCGTATGTTCAGTCTCTGGTTCCAGCGACGTATAGGTGTGAGCTAAGGACGTAAGAGAGATTGCACACGTTTTCAGAGTTAGCAACCATAATATGGTGAACACAAGTGTGTCCAGAGGAAGCCTCATTTTCTTCAGCAGCCAATAAATCAAATGCACATAAGAGCGTAAGAAGGGAATGTTATCTCCTCACTGCTGTGTACCAATACGCCACAGCCTAAGGACAGCAGGACAGCTTTGCAGGGCCGCTGCCTTCCTTACACAGTAAGGCAGTAGTGAGTGGAGCCTGGACCCTGCTCTTCCCAAACCAGGAATGGGCGCAGCCTCTTTGGGTGAAATGCTGCTTTAGCAACAGATCTGGTGCAGGACTTTCTCTCCTCCAGCTGCACAACACAGAGAGACTGAACATAATCCTAAGTAAGTTAGGAAAGTTTCTACTCCTATCACCTCTACTGGTAAATCACCCTATATATGTGATAGGTATGTATTTTTCTTCTGTTATGCTGGGGGGGAGCACTGTCCAGGACTGGAAGCCAACAACCCAATTTGCTGCTCTCCACTGGAGACTATGTTATTTATCTCGGCCATTCATCCCACAAGTTTGCTGCCACCCCAACTTTGGGCTTCTGCCACTGCTAGAAGGGATTCACATGAAGTCCCATCAGCTGCAGTGGCTGCCCAGATGAGCTGGGTTACCTTTAAGATTGAGGAGGTGTCCTGGGCTGAAGTAGTCTGTGGTCAGCTGTGTTTGTTTATTCACTTCTCTCATATCCAACATGTCTTCTCGGTTTTTGAACCACTCCCTCACCTCCACTACTTCAGTACCTGGCAGGAGACAAAGCGTTTCACAACCTTATGTCACTCTGTCGGAGGTGGCAAGATTCATCTGATGAGCTCTCAGTGTCTGTGCAAGCACACTGTGCACCTGATACAGCCAAAGCAGACATCGCATAGCCACTTTGTAGATGAATCCTAATCTACATTTGAGTAGATGAATTACACCTTAAGAGGGTTCATTCCTCTCCATCAACAAGAACTAAAGGAATCAGCTCAGGGGGAGAAGGTGGCATGGCGGATGGCTACGGTTAGGCAAGGGAAATTCCATCCCAAATACTTAATGACAGTGTCAGGAGTGAAGGGAAATGAGATAGGGGCATTACACTATCCAAGAGTGCCGAGGACAGGACACTGTATGTCCAGTTAGGAATCTGCACAGTCTCTTGGACCAGCTGTTGAAGAATAATGCTTTGGAGCACAGAAATATCCACAGTCAGTAGCTGCCCCTTTCTATGGCTCCTGTCAACACCAATAAGAACAGTGATACTATTGGATCAAATCAAACCAGCCTTCCATTTCTCTGAAGACTGAAAATCCAAGCAGCTGACCTGCGACACCGAACAGCCTCACCACTGGGGTGTAAACAGATTCAAACTCTCGCAGGAACCCCTAGCAATGCTGGAAAGTTCTGGGGCTCGACAGACAGCGAGCGTGATGAAGCGTTTGAAGATGTGGTAGATAAGTCCCCCACAAATGTGAAAGGAGGATGAGAAAGCACAAGAGACTCTGGCAGGAAGGGGACCACCTCCCCCTTCCCATCAGCACACCCCAGGCTGTGTTTGCTCAGTGCGTTGAGTGTGTTCACTCGTCCCTCTTACAGTCTAAGTCTGCGTAGATGGTGAGGCGTTTCACCAGCCCATTTCCATTCAGGTATGGTGCCCATTTCTCCAGTTTTGCTTTCCTGTACAGGATCACCTTCCTCCCCTGGGAACAGCGGGTCTCAAACTCTGCAGTGAGCAAGAGAGGTATCAGAAAAAATTACTCCCTTGTACTCAGCGCAAGGAAAAAGAATTCGAAAGGGAGAAAACCATGGTCTAAGGGAAACCACGCATTTACTGATTGCGTTCAGCTGCCAGTAAAGCTGTTCAGGCCCTGCCTGTTGTGCTTTAATGTTATAATAGTATAATAACTCTTTTCTCTCCCAAAGCAGATATTTGATAATGCAGGGGCAGTACCTTGTGCGTAGTGGCAACAGAAAGTGCATCCCAGGCAAAATCATTCAGCTGGCAGGAA